TGTCTGTCTCTCCCTCTCTCTCTTGGTTTGGATTATGAATGTTTGAAGTTTTTTTATTCACTTTACATACCAACCACAGTTTCCCTCCCCTCCCCTCCTCCCCTTCCCCCCTCCCACTCCACCCAAAAACCCACTCCTCAGAAAGGGTAAGGCCTCCCATGGGGAGTCAACAAAGCTTGGCACACTCAGTTGAAGCAAAACTAAGCTCCTCCCCAATATCCCTACATCAAAGCTGAGGAAGGTATCCTATCATATGGAATGGGCTTCAAAAAGCCATCTATTGCACCAGAGATAAATCCAGGACTCCCACCAGCAGACCAGGCTACAAAACTGTCTCCCACATGCAGAGGGCCTGGTTCAGTCCCGTGCATGCTCCCCAGCTGTTGGTCTGGAGTCCCTGAGCTCCCACAAGTTTGGGTCAACTGATTTTGTGGGTTCCCCTCTCATGATCTTGATCCCCCTTGCTCATATAATCCCTTTTCCCTCTCTTCAACTGGAATCCTGTATTCTGGTGCTTGGATGTGGATCTCTGCATCTGCTTCCGTCAGTTACTGATGTAGGTTCTATGATGATAGGGTAGTCACCAATCTGATTACATGTCCTTTATGTCTGTAAGATTAAACTCTCAGAAGCCAATCTATTTTTTGTCAATTCCTTTGTTTTAACTTCATTTTCTCCATTATATGCATAGGAACAAGCCAGGAGATTTAAGGATAAATGAATCATTAAGGCATATGCTCTAGCACAATGATGGCAAGAATATGTTATATACTGTATTATGGCTATGGCATAGATCACAAATTTTCTTTCTATCTTTCATTCTCAACAAGAGATGTTGGCACTAACTGCCAATGAATGCATCCATCCATTCATCTCATTACCCACCCATCCATGTGTATTCATTCTTTCATCAAGTACATATCAAAGTATGTCATGTATCAGGCAGTGAATAGCACTGAACTTGAGTTTAAAAAAAGAAATTCGCAGGCAATTGAATGGAACTAGAAGAAACCATCCTGAGTGAGGTAACCCAGTCACAAAAAGACAAACATGGTATTACTAACTCATATATGGATTTTAGACATAGAGCAAAGGATTACCAGGCTCCAATCCTCATCACCAAGGGAACTAGGAAACAAGAAGGACTCTAAAAGAAAAAATGCATAGACCCCAGAGAATGGGAAGGGGCAGAATCTCCTGAGCTAATTGGGAGCATGAGGGTAGGGGAGAAGGAGCTGGCAGAATGAGAGGAGGAGAAGAGGAAGGGAGAGGAGGAAATGGAGGAACAGGAAGGTTGAGACGGGGGAAGAATTGAGGAGAGCAGGATGAAAGATACCATAACAGAGGGAGCCATTACAGGTCTGAGGAGAGATCTGGCACTAGGGAGATTTCCAGAGATCTACACGGATGACACCAACTGACAATCTAGGCAATGGTGGAGAGGCTATTCTAAATGCCCTTCCTCTATAATGGCACGGATGACTGCCTTATACGCCATCCTAGAGCCCTCATCCAGTGGCTAATGGAAACAGAGTCAGACACCCACAGCTATACACTGAACTGAACTCTGGAATCCAGTTGCAGAGAGGGAGGAATGAAGATAAAAGCAATTGGGACCAGGCTGGTGAATCCCACAGAAACAACTGGCTTGAACAAGGGAGAACACAAGGACCCCAGACTGCTGTCTGGGAGGCCAGCAAGGGACTGTTCCAGACACCTGAACATGGGTGTTAATGAGGAGGCCTCAGCACTCTATGGATCCCCTGGTAGTGGATCAGTATTTTTCCCTGGTGTAAGAAGGGACTTTGAGAGCCCATCCCACGTGAAGGGATATTCTAGGCCTGAACCCATCCTAGGCCCTCTCCAAGATGATGTGGTGCACTTTGGGATCTCCCATGGAGGGCCCTACCCTCCCTGGGAATTGGAGCAGGGGTGTCCTAATTTGAACTAATAAAAAAAAGGAAACAAGACAATGTATACAATTCACTGCTGCCTCGAAAGCTGTAATCAAACAGAAGAAAGGTAAGAAAATGTCTTCAATTTCAAATTTTCCCTCTTAGTAACACTACTTTGATGAAAGTATGGCACCTAAAATAAATCAAATTAACTACCATTTCTATACATAGTTCATCTTTTAGGATATTATCAAATTGCTATAAGTTTTGACTTTCAGATTTTTATGGTCAGTGTCTGGAGAAATAAAAATAAAACACTGAAACTGAATAAGAGTCATAGAATCTGAAATGAACTATTAAATTTTTATCCATATTATTCAATGTTGAGCTGCACTCATGTACTAAGTACATGTGTATTCAAGTAGCCTGCTCAGCACATGTAACAGTTATGCAAAGTCATAGCACAGGAAATGAACTTCATATAACAGAAATAGCAAAGGCTTAGAAGAGCAGGATTCAAAAGGTAGAAGAGCTGGATTTGAATGGAGACTTGTTTCTGTCTGGGTTGGAAGGCCCCTCCCCAGTTCACAAGCATGTCACTACTGCAGTTGCATGCCCCTTTGGCTCTGCAGGCAATTAATCAGAGAAATAGTTTTCCTCCTTGCCAACAGACTGGAAATGCCCAGTTTCATCTGTCCATGACTGTTTACCCTGCTATATTAGTTCCTCCCTGCTTTTTGGGGGGGGGGGGTCTTAAAATGCTACATATTTTGCAACTGAGAATGGTGGCGCCAACATATGGTTTCAATTGAATGATTCAGACATATTATTCAGTATGAACAAAGAAGGAAAAATAAAAACTTAAACAACCTCTTTACTTTTATTATTTGTTTTTATTTAGTTTATTAAATATCTTTTAATAAAAATCTACAATGTGAAAAGTCTGGTATTAAGGTGAGGCAAATTTCTATTTGTTTATTTTCACCTTCTCTGTTCATTATGCGTAAGTGTCAGAAATACTCAGACACAGCTTTCATTCAACTACTTTTATAAGTTCTGAAGTTTGAGTCAGTATTTACAGAACTCAGACTGTAGCTTACCCCGTCTGCCTATGGCCTTTTGGTGGCTCAGGAGCTGCCCACTTGATTTAGTTCTTTATCCCTGAAAGACTGTAAGGATTTAACACACTACTCCTTTTACACTGAAAGATTCTTATGTCTGCAAAGTCTTGTCTTTGGCTTAGGAGTGAAGGAATTTCAATTAGATTGTGGTTTCCTCACCCAAAGCAGTTTGGTAAAACTGGTGTGGTATGTCAGAAGCAGTGACTGAGGTAGATTGTGGGAGAATTCTAACTCTTCAAGAAAATTTGGCTCAGAGTAGAGGAGCCTCTGGTATAAAAACTGCTGCCATAACATGCAGTGATCATAGTTTTTTATATATATATTATGGTGTTTGTGTTTTCATAATGGATGCTTTGAGTTAGATATTATTAGTAGTATTTCAATATACAAGTGTGAGATTCTTATTTTAATGAAGCTTTGGCTTGCATTAGCCCAGATAGTTAATGTCTACACAGATCACTCATACACACAAAGGTGTCTTGCTTCATTTTGAGATTGGATTCTATGAAATAAACCTTTTGGTTTTCTTTAGCTGGCACTCTCATAGGCATCTTTCATTCTTTTTTTGGTTAGTACTTTAAATATTGAGAAAAACTGTTATTGACCAAGTGAGTTTTCTTTTGACCTGTTTTTCTGTGTAGATTATCTTGTTCTCAATTTCTTAACTATCATGCATGCTGAGTTCATCATCTCACATTGATCATGAATGATCTACCACTTCTATTCCAATGAAGATAAGACAATTCTGAATTGTGCATTTCTTCACTTTCACGAGAAAGTGTACAAGTCTGAAAACAAAGAAGCCCAAGATAATGCAGACAGAATTACCTGGAATACTCATGAACCACTGGAAGAAATCAAGAAGGAGAAACCATATCCTCTTGAGACTGAGCTATGAATAGTATATAAAATATTCAGTGTTATTGAGGTATTAGGGTTTGTTGTTACTATTAGGTGGCTTATATTATTGAAAAATGTACTAGAGTAGATTAATCATACATATTGAACAACATTGTGACATTTTATACATTATAATTTAATCATTAGCAAACTGTGTAAATAGTCACTATTTTAAAGAGTCAAGAGAAAAACTAATGACATTATGGGTACTTATAACAACAGGCCTCAAATTTTAGTGATTAAATTAAATATGTAGCAAAAATATGTAATGATATAAAACTTAACCATGTAGTGATGTGCTCTTTAACTACATCTTGTCTCTTGGCTTTTTACATTTCTTTATTCTATATGTCTTTCTTTCCTTACTCCATGGCTGGCTGTGTGGCTGGGTCATTGGCCCCTGGCATCTTCTTCTCCACCTTTTCTCACTCCCCATTCTTTTCTCAGATTTCTCCTCCCATTTATTCTCTCTGCCCACCAGCCCCACCTATTTCTCTCTCCTACCTACCTATTGGCTGTTCATCTCTTTATTAGAGCAATCAGGTGTTATAGGCAGGCAAAGTAACACAGCTTTACAGTGTTAAATGCAACCTAAAAGAATATAACACATCTTTGCATCATTAAACAAATAAATATTCCACAGCATAAACAAAGGTAACTCTTCTTAAACTAATATTCCACAACACTAACTAGGGATGGTTCTTTTCATTAAAAAAAAAATCCAGAATAGGCTGTGCACTCCAAGAAACAGAAAAACAAAATTGAAGTAGCTTACTTCCACGTGGCAGCACCAGTTACCATTCTTAAGGGCCGTTCACAGATTCAATCTGTTAACATTATAAAATTGGCAATGATTAAGTTCACAGGAAGAAATAAATCCTAATGATTCTACTGGGACGATGTTACATTTGGAGTATATATAATCTGCAAAATATCTGTTGGTGAACAAGGAAATGAATAATGACAGGCTAAAGAAAACCCTGTACTGTGAAATCAGTGCTGTGATTTTGTTCAACTGAATCTTTTTTTCTGATGCATTTGAGGTATATTGAACTGTCTAACCTGAACTTTGAAACTGTTGTTGCCTGACACACAGATTCTCACAGACAAGTTTTGAGTCATTTTAGACACTTCAAGAAGGACAGATAAACAGTGTTGATGACATTTCTGATTGGTGACTCATTTTCGGTGATTGACTGCAAATTGGTCATTGATATTATTCCAGTGTCCTCGGTGATTTGAGCAATTGGGGCGGGTTAGGCATTCATTACATAATTTGTGTTTGTTTAGTCAATTAAAAAAACAACCACTTTGAAACTTACTTTAATGTTAGCCTGAACTTTGTTTTACAATGTTTTTTTGAAGAAATTCCTGTCATGAGATATCCAGTTTTAAGCTCAATTTTTGGCAGTGAATTAGGAATATTGTCATACATATTAATCAGGTAATCTCATTACAAATTGTATTCTATATCTACAGTATCACTATACAGCAAACACAATATTTTGCTATATAATTTGATAACAACATAACATATTCTACTGTACCTTAAAACACAAAATCCAAATCTATTTTCATTTTACTGCTATAGTGGTTAAACATTGCTAATTAAGTATCACTAAATGATAAAATGAGTGATACTTGAAATGCTTTAAAATGTTACATCTATTTTTAAATTTTAAATTAAAATTTAAATGAAAAATGAAAATTTTGAGAATTTCAACGTGATTACTATGCTTATATAATTTTTCCTTCTTCTTTGCCCTCTTCTAACTCCTCTAATATACCACACCTTCTCAAACTAATGTTCTCTTCTTTAATTATTTTTATGCATATATATATGTATATGCACATATTTGTGTATGTGTATGTGTTTGAGACTGACCATTTAGGATTGAATAATCTTCCAGGGAGTTCATCCTTGGAGCAAGAAAGTGAATCAACCAGTACTCTTATTTTCCCTTAAAGATGTTTTGTAAAAATAATTTTCCGAGTTTTCTCCTAATAATATATTCCTTGCTTCACTCAAAACTCTAATCATGTGTATTCAATCTGGAGAGAGTTTACTTCTACGACTTTACCTGTTGAGATGCTCTAAATGGTAGTGAGCTGACACTTATGATATGATATGAATATTTCTGTCCCTTCAAAATCATATGCTCAAACCCAATTATCTGTGTGATGGTTCTTGGAGATGGGATTTTGGGGGGTTGAATAATTAGATTACAAAAGCAGAATCCTCACACAACTTTTAGAGTCTCATTAAAGAGGATCCGCAAGAAAGATCTTGTGTCTTCTACCATTTGAGGACCCATCTAGATGGTGTATGTGTGTATAAGGTTCACCACTTGGGACTGAATAGTTTATCACTAAGATTTTCCCTGGAGAATCCTGATTCTGCATCTCTTAGCTGCAATTAATTTTGCCTGTAGCTCCTCATCTATGGGTTGGACCCTGAGAGATTTTCCCCCATCTGCATTTGTTGTGAAATATTACTTTTACTTTTACTATTAAAAATGTGTTATATTTATTTATGTTGTGGAATATTACTTTAACTATGAAAAGTTGTGTTACATTTGTTTATGCTGTGTTTGTTTAGTAATATAAAGATGCGTTACACCTTGTTTAACCTTTCCTGTC